CGGACGAGACATTATGCTGATCGGAAACGGCAGGACGGTTTATGCACAGTGTGGATGGCAAGTGCAACGCCATTCAGGCAGGAGATAACTTTAAAGTTTGTAGAAAATTAATACGAGACGAAAGCGGAGCATTGTTCAAAGTCCTAATTTACTTTAGTTTTTAATTTTATCCCGTAATGAATATTAGTCTTGTAATTACAAGTAAAGTGGTCTGTTTTTTCCCTGGTAAGTATTATTTCCGTCGTTCGTTCTTCCGTCCGTCCGGGCGTTCCTCCTTTAAAGTTTATTTCCCCATGAGACTTTCGAGACTCAAGGAGTTTGCTGAACGTTATTACACGGGCCCGATGAAAAATGTTTATCGAGTTAAAAAACAATTATTCGTACGCCGGGCCCACGCGGCTGCGCAGTACGAGACCCATGACAGAGTAAACAAAGTTTAAAACCGGACGGACTTGTTTTAGGCTACATACAACATACATCATGGTATCATAAAACGATTGAGTACAATTAAACACAATATTTCATCTTTCTATCTCTCCTCACGTCGTGAAGCACGTTATGTACTAACTCCAATAATTAACACCTTATTCTACAACATTATGTTGTATTATAAAATATAAAAGTTATAATAATATTATTGGGGGACGGAGTGGCCGAGCGTTCTAAGGCGTCGGTTGCGACGCTGCCGGCGCCGGTTCGATCCCGTGGTCACGGGAGGCATTTTTCTTCGGGCAAGTCACGGTGTCCGGAGAACAAATGCCGCCATCCCCCACCCGGGCATAGCAGATACCTACATGTGCCCAAATCGAAAATTCTGCCAAAACCCACACACGGTTCACCTACAGTTCCCCCTTACAGTACCACAGGCCAATGATCTTTGTTGTCGAAGCCTCAACCCTAAAAAAAAAAAAAATAATATTATTACTATTGATGTATAAACTATACAAGTAAATAACGATGTTCAGCAAAACGGAATAGGTTCATGGAATAAATTGCTTAAAATGAGTCTAAGACTGTCCCTGTATAGTATAGACGATTATGCTTTTAGTAATTGTGAAATGTTTCAAGTTTATATTATGAAAGCTATTTACTGTGTTATAATAAAGCAATGAAAATCGTTTGAGAAAATATCTTACTTTACGTTTTTACTCTGTCAATATTTAAACTTGAACCTATAATTTTTTGATGGACACTTATTTATGAGTGATTTTTCATTAAATTATCCAATGCCAAGTACAGTATCAAAATTACAAAATAATTTGTAATTACCCGTTGAATGGTGGTGGTTGGCATTAATTCTGAGTAGATCATGCAATTTTGGATAAATTGATAATATAAAATATATGGTATTGGTATATGTGGATAAAAAAAAATACTGCTGATAAGTTTAACATAATAATATATTATAACCGAAATTGAATGCGGTTAGTACTTTAAAGAGTTCAATTTTTGGATTTCCCAGTGGTTTTCAGATAAACTGCTAATAACTACTTGTATACCTAACCCTAGAAAGTATACCCATCTGTTTTGTTTTTCAAAACGAAAACTATACATTTTGTTTATTTTGTTGTTGTTCAACAAATAATAATCCTAGAAACTTTAAATATTTAACTACTGTTCATTTCATCATTATTTTATTGATGAAAAATAATCGTGGGTGTCGAAAGCATTTGGTCCCTTATGTATAGAATTGTGAATAAAGTTGTTGTTAGTTTTTGTTGAAACTGCCGAAACTGCGGAAACATGGACATTATTTGATCTAAAACAAGCATATTATAATTTTAAGTGTTTAGTTATTTAAAAAAAAAAAATAATTATGTGAATATAAAATACAAATTAAAGCAAATTTTATTTTTACATATTTTATATTTATTGTGTTGTACCATTAGGTCTCAGATAATTTGTCTGTATAAATATAATTATTAAATAACGGAGTTTAACGGTTAACATTTAAAAAATTGTTTTCTCAGATGAAGCGATTTATTGTCGATTATTGAAATAGAAATTTTTTTTTTACGAATTTTAAAAAAAAGGGGAATAAGTAGGTACTCTCTGAAATTGTCAACTATGGATGGAGTTTATGGATTAAACACTATTAATATGTTGTTGTTTTCAACTGTAATTGAACAGGGAAATATATTTTTCATTAAACATAAAAATAATAATATACGTTAACTTTATAGTGTTTTTATTGACCTTATTCAACTGGAAGTGTACATTCGTTTAAGTATTTTCTCATAAAATCACCAACATTATAGAAACACAATTTTTCAGACTACTTTCAATTGTTTCACGCTCTATAACCAGACAAACTTACGTTTGAACTCCACAATAGTGTGTTGAGAAATTAGTGGACTGAAGTTCGTGAAAACTCGTCGTTAAGTTAGCGTGACTTTTTTTCCACATCTTAAACAACAAAGTTTTACTAACCAAAATACGAATTCTGCATCGCTGTCTACCCAAGTTGTACCAAACTCTAGTAAGTTGGGTGTAAAAAAACACTTTGAACCTTAGGTGACAAACAATACGACATTATTGATGATGACAACTTTATTTACGACTCACGGAGTAAAAACAAAAAGTTTACTAGGTAACAAATAAGTTTTTACCTCACGCAAATGGGTTATCATTATGAAAATTAGAATTAATTTTCTCAGCAATCTCAAATCTGAGAATCGAAATAAGTGAGCATACATAATTATACTAATCACCAGTCACCATTTAGTTAAGTTAAATTAATGACTGTTCAACCAGTTCAGTTTGGTCTAAAATAATTATATTATATGATTATTATTATTTTACCAAATTTTTAAAGATTCACAAAATCAAATACCTGTAAAATACTGCTAATTTCAATAATTAGGAAGTCAATGAAGTAAAGTATCGGCAAATAGAAATTGAAAAAGAAATACCTTCAGACAATCAACTGCTTTTTTTGTTTTGGTTAAAAATACAAGCCTTAATCTGCATAATATAACACGTAATGATATTTCAATAGTATAATATAATATAAATAATTATATTATTTCAATAGTATATTATAAACTATGTGAACACAACACGCTAAACTAAGTTACACAATAGACAGTCTGTCCACATATTATTATAATGTAATAAGCATATAAACGTCCATCGAATGGTTATGATGTCTGATGCAGGTACGTAATTGTCGTCAAAATTAAAGTTTTAAAAGTGACCAAAAAATGAATATGTTGCACATAGGTATTGTTTGTGTTTTTTTTTTTTTTTGGAAATGTTAGGCGAAAACAATTCACTATTATAATATGTATATTATTATAATGTGCATGTAGGTACGTATTATACTATATATAAGTATTATAATAGCAAATCGTCTCTCTGACAATAAACAATTGTCGAGTATCCTGCCATTACAACATACTTGAACAAGTATGCGTGCAACTACTATGTATAGATAGTAATATTGTTATCGCGTTAGTACGTGTGGCGCATTATAACGATCGTATGTGTTCGATCGAAAACGTAAATAATTAATGTGGTCGATATGTATATACTTGTGTACATAACATAATACATAAATAATGTTCAGAGTTGTATTATACTATCATAATGCATTCTTCCTATGTATCGGCGTCGTAGCCCGTAGGTGTGAGAGGCGGTGGAGGTTTATGATAAGGAAGAGGAGGTGGATCGCGAAGAGGGAGTAGTCCGAGCGCGCGAACGCAATTTTGCTTCCCAGAAGTTTGCGGAGTTTTCCTTAGAGACGTTTCGGACCTAATTAAATTGTTTCGCCGTTGTCTATAACAATAATATTAAAAGGGAGTGGGGACTGGCACCAGGAATACAACGTGGCCTGGTGGTACAAGCGTCCTGAGAAGCGGAAGCTGTTTGCCCTTTTTCTTCTCACGGCCAGACCTATATACTTCTCAAGTCTTACATACTTGGTGCGCATTTCTTGAGCAACAACCACTAATCTTTATACGATAATCTTATTTCCCCCTCAAATAGTTTTCACCGCTGCCGTTGTTCCGTGCATAGTTCAACGATGCTATCCAACCGTATATCTTTGTCGTATCAACGGTAAACCGTTGTTCTCGTCTATACGCATGGCACCTCCGCATACAACACATATTATATTATGCACCTATATTATTATATTCATGTAGGTGAAATATTATTAATATCTAGTTCATAGTACGTCCTTATTGTTTATGGATTGTTTGTGTGTCACGGTCCTGCGCACGTGCCAACGGGATAATAGAACCGGAAGACAAAGGGATAATTATTATTGTTTTGGAAAAATAACGAAAAACTTTTTGACTCCAAATGAAAGGTCGCAACCGCACGGCCCGAAACATCATCCATGTCAGGATACACTATGGTCACAGCGACGCAGACTTATTTGATTAGTAAACTTCTAGGAACATTGTTTTGAATTTCGAACGGTCAAGGCAATAGAAAACGACGAACGCCTTGTGTAAATTGCGATTTACCATCTCAAACAGTGGCCCGATCGGTGGGAATGAAAAAATGAAAAAATATCTTTACGACAAATACAAACTAAAGACTGTGTCAGTGGTCGCCGGGCTATCATGCGGTACCGCTGTGGTGACTTTTTTATTTTGAGAATTTTTCATTTTATATAATTACTATACGACAACACTGTTTCGCGAGGACGAGACATCAAATGATCATACTTTTTTCGATCGTCCGTTGATTAAAATTATACACTTTCTCAGAACTCAAAGGATCTTACGAGTAGTATGCTGCTGAGTAACCTCACAGTGTAGGGAAAAAATCGAATGCTCTCAGGTCACTATTTAATTGGTTTGTAGGTAAGATGTGGGACGAGTATCTTCAGCTGACCACCCCTACACACGTCACCGATGGATGAGGGGCGGGTGCAAGGTGGCGGGTTGATGAGAAGGTGCGTGCGTGTACAGTGTCAGTGTGTGTTGGAGAGTGCGTGAAATATTATTATGTAGTACCCTGCCGCTGCCTCCATCGTTTACACGATAGAATCAAATAACCATCGCCCCCCCTTTCCCACCCATGGCTGTTTTCTTCCATTCTCGCGGACGACCCGTAAAAACTTCCTGACCCACTGCCATTCCACCCGCACGACGATTTATCATCGGCCCCGGAGCTAATCGTCTTTCGACACGCACGTCGACGGTGCCTCTATTACCAAAGTGTATAGGACCAGAGTACCACGGGTATATACCATGTGCTATAGCTGATGGCTGGACGACAACGATGACGATGACTGCGCGGGACGGGGATAAAACGTCTCTTGTGTCGTCGGCCTCGGAACAGGTACGCGGAAATATTTGCATAATGCCTTCCGCCACAGAGTGATTTCTTTTCACGCACCCCCTCCCGAAGACAGACATTTTCGACTGTTTTTTTTCACCAGGCCAGGGTCGTTTTTCGTGTTACGTTGTAATATATAGGCACACGATACTATTCACATCACGCTAGGCGGCCATTTCTTCGTTCAGCGCAGGCGCTTTCTTCCTCGAAGTGCAGGTTTCCGTGCTGCCACCTGTGTCGTCACTTGAAACTCTTCCACCACTTTTCTTCCGAGGTCTTATAACATCCGAAACTAGATCGGTCGGTCAACAACATACGCGACGACCATCTTCGATCCTTTAAATTTTCCCCAGCTCCATCGCCTTAATTTAAATGCACTATCGGTGTCTTACAACGCTCATCCACAAGTTTAATGCGCATGCGTAAAACCACCAAACACCGATGAAACGTGGTACACCATTTCGTATATGGATTTAGCGAACAGTGTCGATCTTGTGAGGCGTTTTCAACAGCCACTGTGTAATACGGCTTATACCTGTGCTCGGGTTTTAATAAATAAGCATTCTTTGAATTTGTTTGTAACAAACCCATTGTTGTTCAGAAAATATGTTTTTGAAATGAAATAATGTCTGAAATGTAATACAACTCCCAAACGCTTTTGACATACTATCGCAAGTAGAAAATATGTAGTTTTCGCTGATATATTCCAATTCTTCTCGCCTCGAACCGAATATTAACTTCATTCGTTTCAATTTGCATCTGCTATTAGTGCCTTGTCACTTGTTGAATTGTCATCTCCAGCACACCAATTGTAGCTTTAGGTGTATAATATTATTATCTGTATCGCATTTCTTCTCTTAACAGTTATTTAAGCTTATTTATGTTAAAAGCGTATTATCAGCTACTGTTAGTTGAAATGATGAATGTTGACGAGGATGGCATACCTAATACATTACACTTGAATTTGTTTTCATTCAATTCTTCGTATTAAATGTTTTAAACGTCACAGCATATGAATAAAATATAATATTAATAATCAATATAAGGTATCCCGCATGTATCAATCCACCAGGGTTTTAGTTATTCTTCAGAATAACTGATTATTTTTAATAATAGACATATTAAATGCAAACTTACTTTTTGTTTTCTATTACTGACCCACTGACAAAACAACCAATCTTTGTGGTATTAACTTTGATATTAAAGTTAATTTAAACGTATTCAGTGCCGAAGACTGGATTTATAAAAGGGAGATCGGTAAATAAAAAATATTAATAAATATAAAAAATACAATTTCTATCGATGTATTATAATAATATCATATTATATTTATATTATAATCCATTTGACCCCTGGCTACGCCATACTGTACGTTTTGTCAAACTTAAAATCAAAAACATTAAGTACTAATTTGTATACGTTGGCGAGTTTATGATATTTCAACTTTATTGCGATTATGATGAATTTTAACACGTTGACCGCCATAATAATATTATCTTATATGAAATCTCACTATAATTTGTACAGGCCTCCAAGAGTTTTTCATATTTTTACTATAACCAGTCGATGATCATTAGACATATGTGCCAGGCCGCTGCCACACTACTTATCCCCGTGGTCGGCACACCTGTTAGGACGTTGTTCAGGGCTTTCGACCGTTGGTCAGACACACGTTCACAGTGACCGATCTGCCCGTTCTCTAACTACCGTTCCCCCCCTCCCCACCAAAGTGGCGTAAATAGAATTTTAGGGACCCTTTGCATACAATCTCCTGGAGACCTCAACATTTTTAAAATAAACAAAATAAAATAATAATAAAATAAATAATCTAATAAAATTGGAAATCGGTCGGTTATTAGTGGGATTTATTTCTAATACCTAAATTATATTATTTTCTTATTTATTAATTTATTGTGAATTTTGTAAGTTGTAAATTTTGTAATAAAAATTGGCAACACTGTATATTTATAGTCCAACGAGAAAATACCTATTGTTGAAACTTAGAATGCGATATTATTGAAATCATTTTAAGTTAGATTTAATATGAGTTTGTACACGTATTAGCTTGATATGAGTTTTTGAATCTCTCTTTGATTCTTTTTCAATGTGTATTGTAATATTTTTTATTCTTATAACTCGGAAACTCGTCATAGGAATAAACAGTACCAATCAGAAATTAATTAAAATTGGTTTTTTTTTTTTTATATAGGTAGAGTTTTTAAAATAATTAATTTGTTCTAAATTTTTATAATACTTTTATGACAATGCCGTTTGAAAATTGAACAATATTAAAATGCTTTTATCTGACTATACTCGTTTGTGTTCGCCAAATGACAAGATGTCATTAATTACCGGTCTATTGTTTTAGGTCGAGTGAACCCTCTGTTTTCATTCACTCTGTGTAAATACTGTATAATATCGAGTTTTATCTATACATATAATATTATATAGTTATAGTATACCTAGTGCCACCGTCAACAACGCTAAAACATGGCCAAAAACAACAATGGGTAATGTTTTTATGTGTATATTATATTCATCCGTATACATAAATTATTATTAGAATTAGATTATTACTACAATGCATGGTGGTGTGTTTACGGGTCAAAATATAGGCAGAATATTATGTAACGGGCGGTAGATTTTTATTCAAACGCGTATTAAACCAAATTTCAAAAAAATATATTCATGCTATCATACAGCGATTTTATTTTATTATATTCTCTTCTGTTGATGCATTATTGATGTTCAAATAAATACAATTTCACTATGGGAGAAACCTATTTTGTGAAATTAATCATACCCAGTAATCAAAAATTCAATCATTGCCATCCATGATTAATTTCGTTGAGCTTTGTTTTTATTAATTATAATAAAGTATACCTATTTTTAATTATTATTACTTTATAACCGATTATTACTGTTCGATCCATTATATACGTAGTGATGATCAGCGTATATTGATTGAAGTGTGTGAATTTCAAATTATAAAATATGATCCTGATAAACTATTAAACTATTAGTAATTTATCGTAGACCATTTTTGTCCTTCTCCGCACTCATGAGTTAATCCTATTGATAATCTATACATGACTGGAGAAGTATCCATACCATCATATTTGTGTCATATAATGTTCATTTATACGATCTGTTTCCCGATTTTATTGAGTACCGAAATTCGACATAAACACAGTTGTAATAATAATATGTTAGAATATTTGTTTGTGCAATTAGATAATAATATTGTATCTAATAATATTATACAATGTAATGAAATATCTAGGTATTTAATTTAATTAGTCTTAGAGATGTCTAAGTGCACTGACAAGAAACTTAAGTTTTCAATACGTCTCGCTTTATACCGTAGCGTTTTCATAATTATTGCATAATTATTGTCCGTACATACAAAGTGTATATTATAAGAATAAAGTTAAATCGGTGACTGGGCGATGACCGTCGGACTGTATTTTTATTTCAATACCATACAGTATTATATCATAATGAATCCAGAAAATAAATGCATTAGGTTCTCACTCGGTCTAATATCAATATACACATACCTACAAAATAAAAGACCTGTCTATATTATTGTTGACGGTATTTGTTTCCTCCAAAACTACCTTTATTCTCTAAAAAGCAAAGTTCACACAAAGTGGATTTACGAATTCATATAAATGGGTTGGATGTTTAATACCTACGCTCGCGTGAGAACCGGAAAACGGTGGAAAATTGATTTATCGGAGAATTTTAGCAACGTGGTTTTGACATTTTGGCCTGGTGGTAAAAACTAACCGTTTCGTATTATTCGCCACTCTATCGTTAGCACCTGTTTGCACTAGACGCAATATCGGATCGTTGATTAATCGTCGGCGCGAGATATAATTTTGATTATAGGAAACTAGGCGACACCACAATATTATATTGTTATTAATAGGTTAGTTGAATTTTTTTTTTATAAGCAAATTACGAACGGACGATATTATTATCAATTTATTTGAAACTGATAATATTAATACTTTGTGTGGAGGACTTTTCCACGACCTCGTGGAGATCACGAACCGTAACCTCCACCCGTCATCTCTCGTGGCCCCGACGCATTACCTAATGTATGACATTAATTATATTATGTGTTTTTTGGCCGTCTGTCCGCCATGCCTGTACCTACGTTATTTTCTCGTAATTTATAATTACACTCGTAATACATACACTGACAAATTATTAAACATGTCCGAAATGATTATCTCGTGTAAATTACGCAGTAATGGTGCGTATAACGTAATATTACAATATGACGTTACTCTAAATACACATGTATAATATATTATAAAATACTAGACGTGGTAAAACTAAAAGCATATTATTTGTAATCAAAGTATAATAAAGCCTGGTTAGCGAATTTAAAACGTGTATTGTTTATTAGTTGAAACAAACACATTACCGTATTTTTTGTATAAAAATATCTTAAAATTAAACTTACATTTTAAAACTATATTACAGTTTTTATGAAACTCAAAAAGTAATATTGAATTACATGACGTATGTATATAGGTATTATATTCCGTCGATAATTAAAAATAATAATAACATCATTTTGTACCAGTTTACATCAAAAATAGTATATTGATTCAGTGGACTATTGTGACCTTAATTCTGTGACCTTTACACTACAATAGGCGCTTAATAATCGAGTCTACTCTTTATATTTTTAGATTCTGAACTGATCGACGAATGTGTTGGTTAAACAATAAGGTTTTTTTCGATTTTTTTTTTTTTTTTTTTAACTGTCTTCGCCTTTCGGAGCAGTAAAAATGGTCAAATTGTCAACTTTAAAATCGGAGTTAGGTGGTAATGGGGGCGAGGAGGTCAAAATTAAATAAATCCACCAAGTAGTTTTAAAAATAATTTATAATATTTGTAGTTGTATAATATTATTATGTAGTCTTATGTTTGTTACACTCTTCTCAAATATATGAACAACATTGTAGACGAATCCATCACCGACTAACCCGACAGAAATCGTGAA